CAATGAGGTATCACCTCTCACCAGTCAGAAAGGCTGTCATTCAAAAGTCCACAAATGACAAATGCTAGAGAGGCTGTGAAGAAAAGGGAACCCTCCTACGCTGCTGGTGGGAATGCAGTTTGGTGCAGCCACTGTGGAAAACAGTATGGAGATTCCTCAAAAGACTAGGAATAAACTTACCATATGACCCAGGAGTCCCACTCCTGGGCATATTTTTAGAAGGAACCCTACTTCAAAAGACACCTGCACCACAACATTCATAGCAGCACTATTTACAATAGCCAAGACGTGGAAACAGCCTAAATGTCCATCAACAGAGGACTGGATAAAGAAGCTGTGGTGTATTTATACAATGGAATACTATTCAGCCAATATAAACGACAACATAATGCCATTTGCAGCAACATGGATGTCCCTAGAGAATGTCATTCTAACTGAAGTAAGCCAGAAAGAGAAAGAAAAATACCATATAAGATCGCTCATATGTGGAATCTAAAAAACAAAAACATAAACAGAAAACAGAAACAGACTCATAGACATAGAATACAAACTTGTGTTTGCCAAGGGGGCGGGGGATTGGAAGGGACAGACTGGGATTTCAAAATTTGTAGATACTGACAGGCATATGCAGAATAGATAAACAAAATTATACTGCATAGCCCAGGGAAATAAATACAAGATCTTGTGGTAGCTCACAGCAAAAAAAAAATGTGACAATGAATATATGTATATTCATGGATAACTGAAAAATTGCACTTTACACTGGAAATTGACACAACACTGTAAAATGACTATAACTCAATAAAAAATGTTACAGAGAAAAGAAGAGAAAATTGGAGCATCACACCCAGTTTTAACCAGTCAACACAGGCTGCCTATGAACACCACTGAATTTACTGCCAACTATTTATTTACTGGTCTCTCACCACGTGCCTGGCTTCATGCTAAGTAATTCACGTATGCATCACCTGGTCTTCAGAAACACCGTCTGGAGAGGGTACCTTCTGTTCCCATTTTCCAGATGAGAGAATGAAGGTGTGAGTGACTCGCCTAAGGTGAGGCAGAGAATAGATGGTGGGGTTGGCTTTGAGTTCAGTTCTGTCAGACTCGAGAGGCTGGGCTCTTAACCACCCAACAATAATGACTTCTCTGCAATGTCCAAGGTCTCATACACCTAAGCGTGGGGGTTAAATAAAAATGTTGATGGCTCCCTGTCCCCAAAGAGGTTTCAGTGCTGTTGACAAGGTAAGATACACACAAATGGAAAACCAGTTGATGACACCTTGCTGCCATTTACGCTGAGGTCAGAGGAGTCCTAGAGAAAATTTGTGGAGGGAGAAGTTGCTGGAGCTGACCTGGGCAGGATGAGCGGGGACTGGACAAGCACAGAAACGTGGGTTGGTCCCAAGAGTAACTGAACAGATACTTGACTCCTTGGTTTAGAGCAGAGAGCATGGTTTCTTCAGCTGAACGGGTGGCGGGGGGTGGGGGTCTCCATTTATGGCTCTGAAGCCTTCAGCAAGTTACCTTTCCTAAGTCTCAGATTCCCCGTCTGTGCCGAGGGGATCACATCCCTCTCCGCTTGTTGCTGGGGAGATGAAGCGCACGTGAATGCCTGGGAAAAGGAGGTGTCTGCTTACTTTCTCCTCTGCCCCCCAAATTAGATCTATTTTTCCAGGAGAACTGGCTGGCTTCATCCCTTTGCCCTTCCGATTGAAGATCTTAGAAAGAGCCCTACCTGCTGTGAGAAGCCCTTCACCACACGCCTCTGTTTGAGGTTCGTCTCTCCATCCAAGTTGGCAGTTTCCAGATGGCAGATCCCACTGGGGTCCGAGGAAAAGAGGAGCAGTATGTCCGCGGGGATGATCTCGTTGCACTGCATTTGGATGAAGTCTCCCACACGCACATCCTTCCAGCGCCTCTGCACGTAGCCCTGCTCTTTTCTTGGGAGAGAGAAAGACAGGAGTGAATCTTAAGGGTCTACAGAACATTAATGAGTGGATGGAAACAGGTCCCAGCTATACTTAAATATCCCCCAGTCAGCCTGTCACAGACTTTTCTTCCTTCTTGTGCCAAACAACCACTGTCATCATCTCTAGAAAAGCTAAGCATGGTCTGTCTAGAGAATCCCGCTAGTAAAAGCTCCCTCGTCTGACCACATAGACTTCTGGCTGCTGGCTGTTGACTGGGTGCTGTGCTCAACCCTTACTCTCTAGCAGGAGAAAAAAATTAAAAGGAGAAGGTGACTAAATTGTCACATTAGCATCATATTCTTAATACACATCACTTCCCAGAATACCCAGCTATCGCCGTGGAAAGCAGGGTCATAAAGAACTGGAGTATAGGAAAGATCGCTTCTTGTTACGAGTAGGAGAGGTGAGGATACAGACCGCCATCAGGGAATCACGGAAGGTCTGGAGCGGTGCTAGAACAGCCAACAGGAAATCAGCAAGAAGGTGCCAGGAACTTTGAAAGGATGGGCCCCACAGTGATCAGAGTCGGAGGGCTAAAGAAATCTGAGGGAAGGACGCACTTTCTCTTTCCAATTTATCAAGCCCAGGGAGTAAGAGGAGCAGTAACTATTGTGAACTTAGCGTTGCTTCCGTGCCGAGCACTAGTGTTAATTTATTCTTCCTCTACTTGTGTGATGACCCACTAGAGAAGATGCCATCCCCATTTCACAATGAGGAAACGGAGGGTTCAGGAAAAATTTCCTCAGGTTTACAAACACAGAACTGGAACCTGAGTCTGGGTCCAAGTGGACCCCAAACCCCAGTTTTCACTACTTGGATATCCCACCTCCTCAAAACCATTCCGCTCTCTCCCCCCGGGTGGTACAGCAGCGTCAGATGTTACACCTCCAGCAAAACGACTTGCTACAACCCAGGGCATCGCTGTCCATTTCCAAGAGCTCCCATTTTTACAGTCTTACTGTTTTTTTTTTTTAACATACAGTCTTCCTTCTGATTAGCCAAATTTTGAACTAATTCTCCTTCCCTAGGCAACCTGATTTATTCCATCTTCTACCACTTAAAAAATATTTTAAAGTATTCATCAGGTATCCTCCAAATCCTTTTTGGACTTGCCAAGTCAAATTTAACTTTCCAAGTGCCCTCAATTATTGCATGTGACACAGTTTCAGGATCTGTCCTAGAGCTGAGGGTTCTTCTGTCTAAGGCAGTGTTTGAAAAGTTTCCTCTTTAAATGTGGGATTTGGGACCAAACCAATATTCCACAGGTGGTCGTTTTAACTAAGCACCACTGGCTCGCAGCTGGGTGTCTCTGATTCCAGCCAGGTTTGGAGATGTGGGCTCTCCTTTACTGTTTTTCTCCACGATGCTGAGCCCCATCTGAGCATGTTACTGCGTCTGCTTGTGCTGGAATCTGGGCTGCCTTGTGCATGACAAGATCGCTCTTCCACCATGATAGGAGGTAACCCAAGATCGAAGGGACCACACGAGAAGCTGCAAGTCCGACCAGTCTCTGTCTTCTTTCTGTTAATCCTTGGATCCCAGGGAGGTCACTGCTGTGCTACTAATAACCACCTCTGTCTTTCCTTAAGATGCAGTCTTCTCTTTATCAGGATGATGTGGTGGTGAAGAAACACTCCGTCCCTGCTGGAGGCTCATCCTCCCCAAAAGAGAGGTTGCCCATGTCCGGGTTGCGTGTCTCAGAGGCACACCTTTCTCCAGACCCATGTCCTGCCATGTGTGTCTAGGACTCTGAAAGCTGCAGAAACATGATTTGGGGGCGTTCAAAAACATTTTTTTGGGGGGGGACATAGTTTAATAATTTAGCTGGTACAAAATTTGAAAAATTATATTTATATTAACCCAAACATAGTCATGGTATAGAATCAGAGTCAGGTTTTGTAGGAATTTTAGGGATCAAAAAAAAAAAAGCCATAGGGACATTTCCTCCTTGTCCTGGTTGCTCTGTGCTGGTTTCCTGATCCTCTGGGGCCTGCTTTGTCTCCTCAACCGTCAGGAACATGGCCATGGAAAAGGCAGAGGTGTGGAGCCCGGGAGCTGGGGGGCGTCCAGCCCCAGGAGGTGATGAGTGGCTGAACCCAGCTGACGCGGAAAAGCAGGCGAGCTGCTGCGCTGAGTGACGCCCAGATGTGGCCAGCAGCTGGCGGGGAGCCACCTGTGGGAGTTGTTCCCTTGTGAATCCAGCCCGTTTGGAACAGCTGCCCCGGTGGACACGTCCACACACACTTGATTGTTTCCCTGCTCAGTGAGTCCACACCTGGGAACTGATTGCTATTTTAGTTTCGTGGCATGTTCACTGCTATTTAAAAACAAGGCAAATCAGCGTGGCTTGGGACGAAGACTCCATCTGGCAGATTCTGCCTCGGGGAGAAATTAAGCGGTGCGGTGCTAACCGGCATTCCGAGAGGAGACAGGGCTGATTAAGAGGTAAATAAACAGCAAGAGAGGTTTATAACCAACTGGATCCCAAGGGGAAGCAGGTGAAAGGGGGGAAACAGAGGAGGAGAGGGTGCTTAAGGTTCCGTTTCTCAAGTACTATGTGGGTTTCATAAAAACGCTTTCAAGGAGCAGGAATCGAGGGGATCTGTCAGGAGGATTAATTGTTTGTGGGAATTCCTGTTCAGTGTAGGGTGATGAGAGGAACTGGCCTTCAGGAAGCTCCAATGTCCGGCCCAGACTGGTCCGTGCTGCTACCCCAGGGTGAAGGGCGAATGCCAAGGAGAATGCAGGCAGTGCAGCAGATAAGAGCGGGTTGAATCTCAGCTTCACTGCTTACTACCTGTGTGACCAAGTTACTTAACCTCTTGGGGAGTAACCTCTTCAGCTGAAGGCAATATGACTATTTGCCTTAGAGGGTTACTGAAGGGAGCAGTGACACAATCCATGCAAGGGACCGAGCTCTTGGCTTGGCACTTGGTAAGTACTCAGTGAATACAAGCATCTTTGATGATGATGGTGACAAGGATTGTTAAAGTTACGGTGAGGGCTAACCACCACTGCCAGCCCCAGCGTTTTCTTCTTCATGCTGCTGGGATACCCACTTCATGTCTGTGATAACATTTTGTGAACTGAGCTCAGACACACAAAGTGCAGACACATGAAACTCTGAAAATCCAAACATTTTCCCCAAGCCCAGGAAAGTGGGACCCAAATTCAGCCTATTAAAGACTAAGGGTTCTGGGTGCTGGCTGCTGGGCAAACTGCCAGAAAAATATATCCTGAAAATCAGGACTGCCCAGCAGGGTCTGTTGTGAGTGCTGAGAAAGTGATTCTAAAGTTTATAGGGAGAGGCCAAAGACCCACACTGGACAACTTAATATGGAAAGAGAACAAAGGTGGAGGACTGACACTATCCAACTTTAAGACTTACTGTAAGGCTACAGTAATCAAGACAGTGTGGTATCGGCCAAAGAATGGACGAATAGATCAATGGAACAGAATGAAATGCTCAAAAATAAATTCACATAATTATAGTCAACTGACCTTTGACAAAGGAGCAAAAGTAGCACAACTGAACAAAGATGGTCTTTTCAACAAACGGTGCTGGAAAAACTGCACATCCACATGCAAGAGAAAAATGAATCTAGACACAGACCTGCTACTTTTCACAAAAATTAACTCAAAATGGATCACAGACCTAAATGTAAAATGTGGGACTATAAAACTCCTAGAAGACACCATAGCAAGAAACCTAGATGGCCGTGGGTATGGCGATGACTTTTCAGCTAAAACACCGAAGGTGCTATCCATGAAAGAAGTCACTGATAAGCTGGACTTCATTACAGTTAAAACATTCTGTTCTGTGAAAGACAATGTTAAGAGAATGAGAAGACAAGCCACTGTCTGGGAGAAAACGTGTGTTTTGCAAAAGACACGTCTGATAAAGGGTTGTGATTCAAAATATACAAAGAACTTTAAACTCAAGATAAGGAAATTAAAAAATGGACAAAAGAACTGAACAGACACCTCACCGAAGAAGATACAAGTAAGCATGGAAAGGGCTCTACGTTGTAAGTCATCAGGGAATGCAAATTACAACGAGATACTGCTGCACACCTATTTGAACGCTCCAGATCAGGAACACTAACACCACCCATTGCTGGTGAGGAGGTGGAGCAACAGGAGCTCTCACACACTGTCGGTAGGAATGCACAATGGCACGGCCACTTTGAAAGGCGATTTGGTGGTTTCTATAAAACCAAACATACACTTCACATATGACTTAGTGATTCTGCTCCTGTTTACTCAAAGGAGTTAAAAACTTATGTCCACAAAAAACCCATACAATGTCGGTTCACGGCCGCTTTATTCATAATTTCCAGTACTTGGAAGCAAACAGATGATGTTCAATAGGTGGATGAATAAACTGTGGTGCCTGCAGACAATGAAACGTTATTGAGAGCTAAAAAGAAGTGAGCCAGCGAAGCCATGAAAAGACATGGAGGAATCTTCTATGCACATTGTTAAGTGAAAGAAACCAATCTAAAAAGGCCAGATGTGGTATGATTTCAACTATCAGATGCTCTGCAAAGGGCAAAATTCTGGAGATAGTAAAAAGATCAGTAATTTCCAGGGGTTGAGCGGTGGGTAGGGATGAAGGGGTGGCGCACAGAGGATTTTGAGAGAAAAGAAACCCTTCTGTACGATATCACAATGGTGGACACATACATTTGACCAAACCCATGGAACGTATAATACCCAGAGTGAGCTGTAACGTAAAGTATGGACTCTGGGCAACTATAATGCCTCAATGTTGGGTCATCAGTATAACAAATGGACCACTTTGGTTGAAAATCGGGGAAACTATGCACGTGTGGGGGCCAGTTTATGGGAAGTCTCTGTACCTTCCTCTCAATTTTACTGTAAACTTGAAACTGCTCTAAAAAAAAATAAAGTCTTAATTAAAAAAAAATCAGGGCTGGAAGAAATTTGATAAATCTCCATTTCAGGTG